ACACTTGATAAGACAACGAATGTAGATTATACCTTACACTTGATAAGACAACGAATGTAGATTATACCTTACACTTGATAAGATAACGAATGTAGAGTATACCTTACACTTGATAAGATAACGAATGTAGAGTACACCTCACACTTGATAAGACAACGAATGTAGATTACACCTCACACTTGATAAGACAACGAATGTAGATAACACCTCAAATTTGATAAGACAACGAATGTAGATTATACCTCACACTTGATAAGATAACGAATGTAGATTATACCTCACCCTTGATAGGATAACGAATGTAGATTATACCTCACACTTGATAAGATGACGAATGTAGATTATACCTCACACTTGATAAGACAACGAATGTAGATTATACCTCACCCTTGATAGGATAACGAATGTAGATTATACCTTACACTTGATAAGATGACAAATGTAGATTAAACCTTACACTTGATAAGACAACGAATGTAGAGTATACCTTACACTTGATAAGACAACGAATGTAGATTATACCTCACACTTGATATGATAACGAATGTAGATTATACCTTACACTTGATAAGATAACGAATGTAGATTATACCTTACACTTGATAAGATAACGAATGTAGATTAAACCTTACACTTGATAAGATAACGAATGTAGATTATACTCACACTTGATAAGATAAAGGATGAAGATTATACCCCACACTTGATAAGATGACGAATGTAGATTATACCTCACACTTGATAAGATGACGAATGTAGATTATACCTCCCACTTGATAAGACAACGAATGTAGATTATACCTCACACTTGATATGATAACGAATGTAGATTATACCTTACACTTGATAAGACAACGAATGTAGATTATACTCACACTTGATAAGATAAAGGATGAAGATTATACCCCACACTTGATAAGATGACGAATGTAGATTATACCTCACATTTGATAAGACAACGAATGTAGATTATACCTTACACTTGATAAGATAACGAATGTAGATTATACTCACACTTGATAAGATAATTACACTTGATAAGACAACGAATGTAGATTATACCTTACCCTTGATAAGATAACGAATGTAGATTATACCTCACACTTGACAAGATAACGAATGTAGATTATACCTCACACTTGATAGGATAACGAATGTAGATTATACCTCACACTTGATAAGATAACGAATGTAGATTAAACCTTACACTTGATAAGATAACGAATGTAGATTATACTCACACTTGATAAGATAACGAATGTAGATTATACCTTACACTTGATAAGACAACGAATGTAGATTATACTCACACTTGATAAGATAACGAATGTAGAGTATACATCACACTTGATAAGATAACGAATGTAGATTATACTCACACTTGATAAGATAACGAATGTAGAGTATACCTCACACTTGATAAGATAACGAATGGAGATTATACCTCACACTTGATAAGATGACGAATGTAGATTATACCTCACACTTGATAAGATAACGAATGTAGATTTAACCTCACACTTGAAAAGATAACGAATGTAGGTTTTATCTCACACTTGATACAGTACTTTACAATAACTTCATGTTTTAGCAAAATCATCGAAAATTGTATTTTGGAGGACTCTTGCTTATTATATATAATGAAATATTTAGCAATATTGACCAGGGGGAAAAAAATAGATTCATATTGTGTGATTTCTGTTAAGCGGTTGACAGTGTTTGGCCTAAAGGTCCTATACATAAGCTCAGAACATAAGCCATTGGTGGAACTCACTGCTCTGGTTTGAAAGTAATTTAGCAGATAGATTGCAAAGAATTAGCACTGAATGGTATTAGTCTCAGTTTAGTGTTATAATTGCTTGGGTACCCCAGGGGTCTAATTCTGGCCCAATTCTGTTTCGCCTTTCCATTCTTGATACATTGTTTTAATTTTAGTCTTTCTATTAACATTAAGCTTTTTGCAGATGACAGTTCTTTGTGTTTAATAATTGACAGAAACCCAATACAGGCAGACCAAGCTCTCACGAATGGCCTTGCTAATTACGTGAATGGGCATGTATCTTGGATATAAAGAAGGGTGCCAATTTGAGCCTTCCGGTGGCTATCACCGATAAGTTTTACTTTATTTTGTATAAACATACCTTAGAATTATGACGTCAATATATGACATTAAATCAAGGTCAGCTTGGAGAGCATTCTGAGATATGAGGGGGTAAATTGGGGTAAAAAAATCACAAATGGCATCTTTTCGACAAATCTAAATGTTATTTTTTGAAAGTTTTTTTTTATATTTGTGATGTATTGTGTAACAGTAAGGCTGCAAATAATAAAAATGGCCGACAAAAAAGCACATTGTTGATAAGAAGGTCACTGTGATCTTGTAGTATTTTGACTTAATTTTGTCAACGAATATTTGTATTTTGTGCAAAAATACACATTAGAACCATCAATAATCTTACTGAGTTGTATTTATATGTATCTTAACCAAATCTCATGAAATGGCGGTCGAATTGAGCGGGAGGGAGATACTTTTTGCATACTTTTTTTTTAAATATTAGGCGCACAGCAACTGTTATCTTTTATCTAGACATGCATTCAACTTTTTTTTTATTCGATTCGATTAAAAAGAGATACTGACAATAGGTCATGTTCAGGTTTTCTTCGGAAAAACTAAAAGGTTTCAATTAATGTACGATATAGAAAGCCTAATAAATAAAAAATAAAAAAAAATAAAAAAAAATAAAATGTTTTACAACTATTTCGTTTCCTGAAAGATGGCTAACGATAGATGAGAAGGTTGTTGGGTTTGGTAGTTAGTCCTATTATTTTCGTAAAACCCAACTTGTGTTACATGCATATATACATAGTATACACGTAGGCTTTTGGTAAAATCCCTCCTACTATGCTATGTTTATTGACATACAATATAAACATGTCAGAAAAGAGAGTAAATAATTTGGGTGTTGTATGAGTGTTGTAGTATGATATCATCCCCACATGTTGCTATATTGAAATTACCTCCCTTGCTTTCTTACACTGTTACTTTGTATATTATTTTTTATTTCAAAGTAAATTTAATCTCAATGAATCAATACTGTGATAATATGTTTGGCAATTGTTTTGGCCAATCATGTGATATTTTATTCAGGCTGAGCCTGTTATCTAATCAATTTGACAATAGCAATTTAGCAATGCTATAGATTGGTTTAAATGAAATATGATACCACCCAAAACTCGATGACGGTAGTTCCGCATAGGTACACCCGGTCTACAGGTAAGTTACAAAAGCACGTTACAGTTAGGGTTCAATACAAATGAGCTTTTGTACTGTACAATAAAGCCTGTTTATCGGAATATCGATTTGTTCAATTAATGATATACGGAAGAGCAGTAGGGCCAAGTAAAGGAAATAATAACGTTATTTATAACTCGAAATTTCGACTTAATTACTCAAAATTTCGAGATGATAACGTTGAATTCTAACTCGAACTTCCGAGTAAACAAGTTGAAATTTCGAGCTTGGTCCAATAAAACAACGAAATTGAATGATTTTATTTGGCCCCAACGCCTTTCCGTTTTATCATCAGTGTAGGGTTTTTTTTATTTAATTGTCTGCATGTTTCAACAGTAAACTGGTAAACTCAATCACATTTGTGTAAACTTAAGGATATTTTGAACACGGGAAAATATTCGCAGCTTATTTAATATTGCGTAATCACTAATGAGTGTAATATAGCAGGATTATATCACTTCAAATTCATGTACATTGTACATACTCACTTGAAACCCAATCCTTCCAAAACGTTTTTCAGACGTAGTACATAAGGTTGATCGTGTGACGAGTAAGATATAAAGATATGGTGCGTTTTTCCGGGCGGTAAACTTCTCTGAGGCCTTATTGGACTTGGTTGACAAACATTGCTTGCAGGTTCAATGTTTTCTTCGTGTAATAATGGAACGATTTCGTCATCAGACATTGTTCTTGAAAACAAAAGTGCATGGCGTATTAAAGCTGACAAGACATTTATAACATGTAGTGGAAAACGGATCAATTCCAAGTCGTTAACTATCAAACAGGGAGAATACAAATTTGTATTGATTACCCTTTTGGAATGGTATGATTCAAGTGTTGGTTTGTTAGAAGAATACCACTCTACCTGACAACATTATATACTCAATGCGCCACCAAAGTGGAACATATATGTCATGATAGGTTCTATAGGATCCTTGACATACTAATAATAAATGTTTCTGAATGGACGAAATGACAATGTGGTGCAGTATAAATGTGAAGTTATTTGGTTTTCTGTTTCGACTTTCTCAAACTACATGTTTCCTTACTTCGTATTTCTTGTGAATACAGTAGTATACATATATCCTGCACATCTATAAGTTCTAAAACGTACAGTTAGTTCAAGCATAAATATGTCGTTACATTTCAATATGATGTTAAGACATTTTAACGCAATACATTTTAAGTTTGTAATGGTGCATGCAATTTCGCTTTGAGGAATTCCCATATGTCTACAGTACAGTACTAGCATTGATGTACACAATGCACACACATTCTCTAGAAATATTTATCAAAATAGCTAGTATTCATTACAGGAAGAGTTATGTTTTTCGCTGAATATTCATCTAGCGCGGTTGTATGTGTGGGAATGTTTCGTGCATACCACACACATGTATTGGTCTTGTTACGGTGTCTTCATGCTTGACTGCCACGACCAATATTTATCTCATCTAAAGGAGTGCTAAAATCTACCTCCCGATACACAATTTGGAAGACATTAAATGCACCTCGTCATGAAATGCTGCCGGAGAAATACAGCTCAGGGTTCCAAATTTTGATTTTGAATATGTTCTTCACTGATATTACTTCAAGAAGGTTTTCCTGAAGACTTGGTGATTATTTGCATGAACATCATATTATTTCAGTGTACTTTTATTTACTGTTTTTTTATATTTAATTCACAATGAAACCTAAATCGATGTTTCCCTGTAATTTTGTATACATCCCGTATATATTTTGTCCCTTGACTCTTATAATTTACAAGAAAACAAAGCACCCGTCGGTACGTGACTGATTTGATATATTTAGACACAGGAAGTGAGCTAATGCACAGCTCAACACACATACCCTATGTGACACCATGGATAGACACCAGCTTCGAGTGTTTGTTGTAATGTTTTCGACCATTGTTACACAGGTAAGAAGATGCTTATCGTCATATATATAACAATTTATCACATTCTGTACACACACAAATATTAACTATTGATTTTGTGTTTTTGTTCCGATCAACACGACATTTGTAAACATATATTCTTACCTTAAAATATGAAGTCGAGCGACTCCTTCCTTCATTAAACTAATACACGAGTGCAGACGTTCTGTTATGACAAAGGGTGCACAGTTAAATAGCCATGTCTATCGAGGCGTCAACAAAATACAGGTGTATTCATGCATATTTTTTATTGTCAACTTGACAATTCGCAGTTCAGACATAACCGATGAAGAGCCGTTCGGGTATAATATTACCAATTGCATCACGACGGGAGACGCCATTAAAGGAGACATCATGACGCGTACGGGAGATACCATGGCAGGAGACATTATTACAGGAGAAACGGACAACATCATGTTGGAAAATTTCATGACGTGACTAACTTTAATGGAAGACACCATGTTAGGAGATACCATGTCGTTGTCTTACGTCATGGTGTTTACAGTTTTGATATGGCCGTTATGTTGTCTTCTGTCATAGTGACTACCGTCATTGTGTCTCCATCATGGTGTTTTCTCTTGTTGTGTCTTTCTCCAAGGTTTCTCCCATCATGTTGTCATCCGTCATTGTGACTTCCCTCAGTGTGTCTTTTGTCATGATATCTTTCTTTATTTTGTCTTCCGTCATTTTGTCTTCCGTCATGGTGTCTTCCGTCATGGTATCTTCAAAAATAGCGAGTCTCGTCATGATATCTTTTGACATAATGTTTCCAGTAATTGTGTCCTCCGTAATGGTGTCTTCCGTCATTGTGTCTCCTGTCAGAAAATACTATGACGGAAGACATCATGTTAGGAGACCCTATTGCGGAAGACATCATGACGAGATACACCATGTCAGGAGACACCATTACGAAAGACACTATATCAGGAGATACAATGTCGAAAGACACTATGACAGTTAACACCATGACATATTTCAGTGCCAAAATATACTTCCAAACCAAATCTTGTTAATCTATATGAACGGGTTTTGCTGAAATTGTCCTAGTAGGGAAAGAACAGATGTGAGGACAAAGATTTTTAACAAAGGGCCATAATTCCTTCAAAAGGGTCGAAATGAAAGGAAAATACCCTTATACACGACATCTGGGGGGTAATTACCATATCTGTAAACTTTTATTTGAAATAGGCCTAGTAGATAAGGAGGCAGTTTTTTTAACAAAGGGCCATAACTCCTTTTAAAAGGGTCAGAATGAAAAAGTACATCTTAGAAGCACAATCTCAGGGGGCAGATACCATATCTGAAAACTTTCTTTGAAAAATGGCCAAGTAGAATTAGAGAAGTTGTCAGGACAAGCATTTTTCAACGAAGAGCCATAACTCCATAAAAAAAAGGTTGAAAAAATACCTGGATGCACAACATCAGGTTGTTGTTATCATATCTGGACACTTTCATTGAAATTGGTCCAGTAGTTTTAGAGAAGTTGTGCCGGCAAACATTTTTAAACTAAGGGCCATAACTTTGTTAAAAAGAGGTATAATGAAAAATTAAATACCTGGATGCACCACTTCAGGTGGTTGTTATCATATCTGGAAAGTTTTGTTGAAATCGATCCATAGCTTTAGAAGGAGTTGTCCGGACAAAAATTTTCAGGAATTTCCTTCTTCTACCGTAGGGATTAAGGGATTTTAGGGATTTAATCCTAATTTAGTATGAAGCATCCCTCGGCAAAGGGGACTCAATATTAAATAAATGATGGGTTAGGCCCCCCTTGAGGGCAGAGGGGCGGGGCCCAATAGGGGATATAGAGGTAAAACCTTTAAAATCCTGTTTCTATCGTAGGGATTAAGGGATTTTTTCCTAATTTAGTATGAAGCATCCTTGGGCAAAAGGTGACTCAATGTTGTATAAATGGTGGATGTGGCCCCCGGGGGCAGTGGGGCGACGCCCAATAGGGGAAATAGAGGTAAAACCTTAAAAAAATCCTTCTTCTACCGTAGGGATTAAGGGATTTTATCCTAATTTAGCATGAAGCATCTTTTTGCAAATGGGGCACGAATTTGTATAAATGGTGGATGTCGTCCCTTGGGGGCGATGGGACGGGGCCCAATAGGGGAAATAGGGGTAAAACCTTTAAAATCCTTCTTCTACCGTAGGGATAGGTTTAAGGGATTTCATCCTAATTTGGTCTGGAGCATCCTTGGGCAAAGGGGACTCAATTTTGTATAAACACTTAGTGTAGCCTCTTGGGGCTGAGGAGCGGGGCCCAATAGGGGAAACATAGCAAATACTTCAAAATCCTTCTTCTTCTGTAGGAATGACAGAATTTTGTCCAATTTTGATATGACGCATCCTTGGGTGAAGGGGAAGCATAAACGGTGGGTTACGCGCCCCTTTGGCTAGAGAGGCGGTGGCCCAAAAAGGAATATAGAGGAATAGCTTTAATTTCCTTCTTCCTCCGTTGGTATCAAGATATTTTTACCAAATTTGAATCAATTTTGTATACAAGGTGGGCGTACAAATAAATAATTGTTTGTCAGGCTGTAATGTTTTACTTATTTGTCATGGTAACTAATACGGTTGTAAGGGTTTGTATATACAGTTTCATGTAAACACAAGTGAAGTTATGAAATAATTTGGTACAGGGCTGGAGTGTCGGACAGTTATGTTTTTGTATTCATTATTTTTGAGTTCTCCATGCTTGTTAAACATGTTTATATTGTGAGATGGCCATTTTTTACTCCATCTTTGCTGTTGTAGCTTTATGTTAAGATAAGCATTTATAGTACTTAGTACATCTTTAAGTATTGTAATGTTTGATCAAAATTGACCTTGATTGATACGTCATTAATAAGTGACATTAACAACACAATACAGTCTCCATTATTATTTAGAATCCTACATATGAACTAACATCAAACTAGTATTGGTATCTTTGTTTGGTTCAGAGATGACATAACCATTTTTGTATAGATCATTTCTTTGTTGATTACAGATTTGTATCGTCAGAGGGGAGGTACTGGTACACTACAAAGGGAACAATTATGTGGAATGTCCATCGGGTTCCTACCAAGTCGAATTTTCCTCCAATTGCACTGACAACTGCCCTCCTAATGCACCGTATATAGTGTCCGATTTATGTTTGGACTACTGTCCTGTGGGTTTAAATTACACGTGTAATAGGAATCATACTATCCCTCAATCAGCTGCAACAAAACCAGGAAAAACAGCAGTCTTGCGATGCCAAAAAGGAATTTGTCCGAAAGAGAGACCGTTTTGCTTTGAATATCATTGTTTGTCAGATTGTCCACATGAAATGGTTAGTGAGGATTTCTCATGCGTCTACCATTGTTCTAATACGACATCGATGGTGTACAACAAATCATGTGTGAACGAATGCCCCCGAGACTCTCCCTACCATGAATCGGGTATTTGTGTTTCAAAATGTTCAACATATAATATACTTTATGGCAACGTTTGTGTCCGCGACTGCCCAGGCAACATGTTTCGGTATCATAAGACGTGTACACCATCATGCCCAAAACAAGCGCCTTTCGAATTCGAGGCTTTAAATACAAAATTTTGCTTGGATTCCTGCCCGGATTTTACTTTCGTTGATCGGCATTTGTGTAAGCTACAGTGTCCGGAGGGATTTGACTTTCTTTGGAACAGAACGTGTGTTAGAACGTGTCCAGACTCGGCCCCAATTATCTATGTATTGAACAAAAGAGTCCAACAATTTAAAATTCCGATTTGTATTACAAACTGCCCCGATGACATGTTTTCCGATGGTATTTCGTGTGTAAAAACCTGCGAGAAGCATATGTATGTGTTTAATTCAACCTGTGTTGACCGCTGTCCTACCAGCCACAGACTGTTAGAGGGCAGTACATCACCATATTCCTGTGTCTCACAATGCCGAATTGAGGAAAATTTGAACGACAATCGTTGTACTGCGGAGTGTCCGGGCGACAAATTAGTTTTTAACAGAACGTGCGTCTCTGAATGTCCCAAATCTAGTCCGTTGGTAGTAAATCAAGAATGTCTCTCTCAATGTCCCATACATTTATTGAATGAATCTGGGACATGTGTTTCACGCTGCAGTAAGGGACATTACATTTTCAATACGTATTGTGTAAAGAGATGCCCAGAAACACACAAATTTATGGCTCACGGGAAATGCAATACTAATTGTTCGATTAATAATTTACTGATTTGGAATAATTCATGTTTCTCTTCCTGTCCTAAACAGGCCTTGTATACCTTCAATCAAACATGCTTAACGGTTTGTCCACTCACTCATCCTTTTGATAAAAGTGGACGAACATTATATTACTACTGGTATCACTACTGTGTGGCGTCCTGTAGTGATAGCATTAGTCCTCCGGTTTTGCTATATGGAAGTAAATGCAAATGTTCAGCACACTTACTCTCTCATAATTCTACATGTGTTGAAAACTGCCCATCGCCATATAACTTTGTTTATAACGATGAGTGTCTTGCACATTGTCCTCGGTTCTTAGTAGGTTATAATAACACATGTCGAGACTCGTGTCCGGAACATGCTAAATATGTATACGATGGTTTGTGTAGAGAGGCGTGTCCATCGTCACATCCGTATTTTGCAACGTATCCAAATTCATTAACTTGTGTCGATAGATGCCCTGACAGCAGCAAAAGTCCGGCGGGGAGGTTTTTATATAACATGACATGTGTAAAAAGGTGTCCCAATGCAACTGTTTTATATGGATCAGATTGCATCGAAAAATGTCCCTTAGATAAATCATTGATATATAAAAAGGAGGACGACAACGGGAATTATATAATCGTGTGTGTAGATAAGTGCCCAGGGACAACCTTCACAAGAGGGAATAATTGTTATGACCAGTGTCCAGAATCCTTAGCTTCTTATTGGCCGAACCGCACGTGTTTAGAGCAATGTCCTAAACATAGAAGATTTCGTTATCGATTTAGAACGAACGGTAATAATTTTGCTTACAAATGTAAGTCATCATGTGACAGAAATATTTTCGATAGCACTAGTTGTGTGGATGTTTGTCCCCCTGAAACCCCCTTTGTATTAGGACAAACTTGTGTTCCGAAATGTCCAGCAACACACGTGTTTCACGAACAACAGAATTACCGATGCTTGGCAGCATGCAAACCCCCTCTGGTTGAACTTAACCACACATGTCTCATATCTTGTCCTGCAAGTATTCCTTTTGTTATGAACAAAACTTGTGTTGAAAAATGTCCAAAACCGTTCAATATGACATCACCTTCCTATCAAGGTCATACATGTGTACAGGAATGTATATATCCATTTCTCCGAGAAAACAACAAATGCACACAGGCCTGTACTGGCAAGTTTATTGTCAACAATGTATGTGAAGACATTATCGGATGTCCGAATGAATACAGATATATAGAGAAGTCTTCACGCGGAACAATCTGTCGAAAAGTCTGTCAGGAAAACGAGTTCGTTTTAGAAGATGTACAATGCACACAGAAGTGTCCGAAATTCGCTGCAGGAAACCAGTGTGTCGAGAGCTGCCCAGATACACATCCCTACACAGTAAAACCGAGTTATTCATTTGACAGAGATTCCACATGTTATGCAACCTGTCCAAAGCTTACACTTGACAAATTTTGTGTGAATGATTGTCCCCTTTCCTATCTTTTGTTAAAATCTAACAAAACGTGTGTCAAGGAATGTCCAGCATCGGATCCCATTAAAGCAGACGACGAATGTCTTAAAACGTGTCCCTCGTTTCAGTTTCTTTCCGGGAAAAATACATGTGTATACGAATGTGATAGCTCTGAAGGACTATATGCCTACGAATCAATGTGTGTCATACAATGCCCTAGTGGAACGTATCCTGCATATCCAGAAAACACATGTGTAACCGAACCAGAATGTGATATTTCTGAAGGATTATATGTCTACGACTCAAAGTGTGTCACACAATGCCCAAGTGGAACGTATCCTGCATTACCAAAAAACACCTGTCGTCCGATTTCACTTGGTTATATTCTTCTCATTACTGTTCTGGCTGTAATCGGCATAACCTGCCTATTTGTAGCATATTTGCTGTTCAGAAGGAACACATTTTGTAGGTGTAAAATTAAAGTAAGTATATGATACTTTTACCTTTTTTTACAGGTCTGAAAGATTATAAAATGAAAATTAGCACCTTTTCTTAACTTGCTTACTCTTGCTGAACGGACTCATCTGATAATAGTATTTACTATGAACTTTCGTTTTGAACATAATGTATACATATAGTAACATAGCTGTATGTGTTAGCATACAAAGTCATGAATAATATAATCCCTGAGTATATGCTCTCCCGTTAAGACTCATGATAAGATACACGTATAGCGTATGAGTCGCCACAAATATTAAAATTGTTTTACCAACTCCCCACATCGAGAGTATTAGAACTATATTTCAGCTACTTCGAAGTCTTGATGTAATCAGCTTTAAGATAGCTCTCCACTAGAACTTCAACGATATATTGTGCGAAAATATAGATCGCGATATTTTGAATATAGTACGATACACAATATGTTTTGGAGGTTACGATACACCCGCGATATTTTTCGTATTTTATCGTTTCTGAATTAAGTCTACTCCCATCCGTTCCAACATGGCGAGTGACAGCTCTTGCTCGGCATGAACGTCCAAAGACGTGAATTGTTTGAAACTTTAAGTCATGCAAATTTTGAACCTAGTCTATTTCCAATTTTAATATTGCCATTAAAAAATCGCAACATATGTTTTATCTTTGCTTCTCCTGTTTCTCTATGTATCGTGATATGTACTGATTGTGACCACAGTATCGTGATATGTACCGTATCGTTACCATAGTTTCGGGATATGTACCGTATCGTCATGTTAATGTACCGTTGCAGCTCTGCTTTCCACTTACAATATTCATCATAAAGCTTGTACTGTATATATAACATGATAGCTAATGTGTTGTATGCTAAAATTACGTTTTTGATTAAATCAATGGAATCAATATTTAAGAGAAATTTATCGTAAAGTCATAAATCCTCGCTGTTAAAAATAGAACAAAATTATAACTAGTAAAGTAAAGTAAGGAAACGCCTATTTAAACATTTAATTGGTTTAGTTTGGTTTCGCTTAACGTCATAATTACAGCTAATGTCATTTAAGGGCGTGCTTATTTTTATTTTTTTAACGTCTTATTAACAGCTAAGGTCATTTAAGGGCGTGCCTCAATGTGTATTGTGAAAGCGTGTATATGTGCCAGAGACAGGGTATGTTGGTGTAGTTGTCTCCTTGTGATAGCGCGGATCTTTTGCCTAATTACAGTACCATCTCACTGAAATACTTTGCCGAAGGCACCCAGCACAGTATTCCGCCCAGTCACATTATACTGACAACGGATGAAACAGTAAATATGTATTCACCATACATGTATGGCCATTCCGTCCTTCTATTCTATTCAGTTTTAACAAATTAAAATGTATGTCAGATTCTTTTTCGAAATATATGTAGATGTAACATAAGGAACAATGTGCCTTTAAAACCCTATTCAACGTTAACTACAGTCTATTTACATTTGACTGCAACAGAGAATGTATTCTTTGGAGTATGTTTATGTATAATGTTCCAGAATGAAATGTTTACGTTGTTTGCCTTTCTGCTTCTAAAACTTATACTTTAAATAGGTGTTCGTATTTACGTAATCAAGTGGACTGACGCTGTTGGTGGATTATTAGTCCAGCTTGGCCGTTGATTTGTAGCTCGAATTTATTCTGTAACAGTTCCCCTGCAACACAAGTTAAAAGTAGACAAAAGTTATAAATGCACGTTATTAATGTACACGTGCAACTACGAGCAAGTCCCATCATTTTAACTCTCCCAGACTATGTTTATGCTCTTACTTTTTGTCAGTAGCGAGGCGGTACCGGGACAGCCACTTACAAACCTACTTATTTAATCGCACCTTTAAGGATACTTAACTTTGTCATACCGAAACCGTTCTGTTATAACTAACCTTAGACACATCCCCTTTAGAAGTTTGTATATAATTCATATCAGTGTTAGATTTCACAAGATTGTATCACAAACACAGGGACCTGAGATGTGTTACAGCTTTATTTGGATCTACACTAACGTGTTCAGAGTAATTCTACACGTTTTAGGGCTTTAAATCAACTTTCGGTAAAGATTCGTAAATCTATGTAAGATTTCCCGGCATACCTTCAGCACTTGCACATTTTTATGTTTCTGTCTGCCTCATGAAGACTACATGTCACATGTTTATTTTTATATTTAGCCTGATTGCCAATGAAAACCCTATAGTTTTATTTGTATATTATAACGTTATATATATCATTTACGCATTTTAATGTAGAGATGGTGCTTTTTTGTATACAATGTCATGTTCGATTATGGTCAATCTTGAAATCAAACTGTTATATTTTATAAACTGATTTATGAATTTTCCTGTCATTTGTGAATCCTCGAGTGTGTGAATAGCGCCAACTATAAACCTAGTCTTGCTCAACCAGACTCTTGTTGTCTTCGCAAGCTACGCCAAACAGAGAGTCTGGTCATACCCAGTGTTATCGTTTGGTGAAGTCATAACGCGGCTTACCAGAATTCTGGTAAATGATTTCATTGGTCAAAGGTAAACACTTTTGAAGTCAGAATTTGAGTGGCGCAACATTACATAGAATATTTTAATTCATGAAAAAAACTTACCTGAAACGAAAATAAAAACACTGCCTTCCGGTGATGGTAATTTTAAAGAATCGTGTTTGACCAGACTCTTAAATTACAAATGATCAAGCGTCTGGTTGAATGAGACTGTTCTGTAGAGGAGGCGTGTGCTTTCTTTTTTCCATGTTCGATTCTGGTCAATCTTGAAATAAAACTTTTAGTTTCTATAAATATATTTACAAATTTCCCTGTCATTTGTGAATCCTCACGTGTGTGAAAAGCGCCAACTATAAGTCACGATATATTCCGAACAGCGCAGCTATTTCATCCCAAAAATAACCAGCCAATCTCGCCACATGTGAACCTCATAAATATAGATGGAAAAGGAGTCTCTTTAACTGAAAAACACTTTAAAACTTGGAAATGCCGTGTGTTTTTGAAGGAAACGGTGCTCATGTCTCCGGAAAGAGAATTTTGGGTGCATATATGAGGTTTGTAAAAGACACATTATCAATCTTTCCAACGGTATCAAGCATGTTTTTGTACAACAATGAGAAATTTGATTTTTGATGCAAGAAAGTTTGGTTGGGTCGATTTTTCGACATCGAGAGCCTTCCTCCTCTTCTCGTATATATCATCAATGGGAAGTGGCATTGTTAATCTAAACTTCTAAAACGTGTAGTATTACCCTTAACACTATAGTTTAGGTCAAATAAGGTTGTAACAAATTCTAAGATACCTGTGATCACAAACAGTTGTGTGTAAGAGTCTCATTACAACAATAAATTACATCTGTTTCAGAAAAACAATGTTGAACAAGCAGATACAGATGACGGATGTCTTACTTTGGAGATAGACGCTACGGACGATGCAGTAGGGCACGAATGCGATGCTTCGACTTTAGAAATGTATAACAATTCTCCAGGGTACCGACAAAATACTCCGACAATACAAACAATGGACGATTCGTCAATTTACAAACATGATACACAGCCAATAGAGCATACGCACGATTCGTCAAGGAATATACACGATACATCGAGAAGATTTGCTATGGATCATTCTTTAATGTGCAAACACGATACACAGCCTAAAGAGATTGCGGACGATTCGTCAATGTACAAACACTATACACAGCCTAAAGAGATTGTGGACGATTCATCAATGTACAAACACGATACACAGCCTAAAGAGATTGTGGACGATTCGTCAATGTACAAACACTATACACATCCAATGGATTTTGTGGACGATTCGTCAAGGTACAAACACGATACACCGCAAATAGAGATTGTGGACGATTCGTCAAGTTACAAACACGATACACAGCCTAAAGAGATTGTGAACGATTCGTCAGTGTACAAACACTTTACAAAAACAACAGATACTGTGAGCGATTTGTCAAGGTACGAACACAATACACAGTCAAAAAGTGCTGAGTACGATTCGTCAAGGTACACACACGATACACCGCCAATGGATCTTGTGGACGATTCGTGTAGGTACAAACACGATACACCGCAAATAGCGATTGTGGACGATTCGTCAAGTTACAAACATGATATACAGCCACAACCTGCTGAGAACGATTCATCAAAGTATAGCAAGACACACAGCCATTAGAACATATGAACGATTGGTCAAAGAACATACACGATACAACTCCAAAATGTGCTGTGGACGATTCGTCAAGGTACAAACACGATACACCGTCAACAGAGATTGTGGTTGATTCGTCCAAGTAAAAAGCACGATACATCGCAAATAGATACTGGCGACTAATGTCAAGACACATATATTATATGATTGTTTCTATTGTATTTAATTCATTTTTCATATAAGTGTTTGAATCTAGATTTGACTATCGTTTTTAATTCATTTTTGCTGTAAATTATTTGAATCTAGCTGTGACTTTCGTGTTTAATTAATTTTTGCTGTAAATTGTTTGAATCTAGCGTTAACTGTCCTTTTTGAATTCATTTTTGTTGTTAATTGTTGGAATCTAGCTTTGACTGTCCTTTTTTAATTCATGGTTGCTGTAAATTGTTTGACTCTAGCGTTAATTGTCCTTTTTTAAAATCATTTTGCTGTAAATTGTTTGAATCAAGCTTTGACTGTCCTTTATTAATTCATTTTTAATGTTAATTGTTTAAATCTAGTGTTAACTGTCCTTTTTAATTCATTTTTGCTGTAAATTGTTTGAATCAAGCTTTGACTGTCCTTTTTTAATTTATGATTGCTGTAAGTTATTGAATCTAGCGTTGACTGTCCTTTTTTAATTCATTTTTGGTGTAAATTGTTTGACGCTAGCGTTAACTGTCCTTTTTAATTCATTTTTACTGATAATTGTTGGAATCAAGCTTTGACTGTCCTTTTTTAATTCATCGTTGCTGTAAATTGTTTGAATCTAGCGTTAATTGTCCTTTTTTAATTCATCGTTGCTGTAAATTGTTTGAATCTAGCGTCAACTGTCCTTTTTTAATTCATTTTTGCTGTTAATTGTTTGAATCAAGCTTTGACTGTCCTTTATTAATTCATTTTTAATGTTACTTGTTTAAATCTAGTGTTAACTGTCCTTTTTTAATTCATTTTTGCTGTAAATTGTTTGAATCAAGCTTTGACTGTCCTTTTTTAATTAATGATTGCTGTAAGTTATTGAATCTAGCGTTGACTGGTTTTTTTAATTCATTTTTGGTGTTAATTGTTGGAATCAAGATTTGACTGTCCTTTTTTAATTCATGGTTGCTGTTAATTGTTTGAATCTAGCGTTAACTGTCCTTTTTTAACTCATTTTTGCTGTTAATTGTTTGAATCAAGCTTTGACTGTCCTTTTTTAATTTATGATTGCTGTAAGTTATTGAATCTAGCGTTGACTGTCCTTTTTTAATTTATGATTGTTGTAAGTTATTGAATCTAGCGTTGACTGCTTTTTTTAATTCATTTTTGGTGTTAATTGTTGGAATCAAGCTTTGACTGTCCTTTTTTAATTCATGGTTGCTGTTAATTGTTTGAATCTAGCGTTAACTGTCTTTTTTTAATTCATTTTTGGTGTTAATTGTTGGAATCAAGCTTTGACTGTCCTTTTTTAATTCATGGTTGCTGTTAATTGTTTGAATCTAGCGTTAACTGTCTTTTTTGAATTCATTTTTGGTGTTAATTGTTTGAATCAAGCTTTGACTGTCCTTTATTAATTCATTTTTACTGTAAATTGATTGAATCTAGCGTTAATTGTGCTTTTTTAAAATCATTTTGCTATTAATTGTTTGAATCTACCGTTAACTGTCCTTTTTTGATTCATTTTTGCTGTAAATTGTTTGAATCAAGCTTTGACTGTCCTTTTTTAATTCATTTTTGCTGTAGGTTGTTTGAATCTAGCGTTGACTGTCCTTTTTTAATCCATTTTTGCTGTTAATTGTTTTTATCTAGCGGTGACTGTCCTTTTTTAATTGATGATTGCTTTAAGTTGTTTGAATCTAGCGTTGACTGTCCTTTTTTAATTCATTTTTGCTGTTGATTGTTTGAATCTAGCGTTAACTGTCCTTTTTGAATTCATTTTTGGTGTTAATTGTTTGAATCAAGCTTTGACTGTCCTTTTTTAATTCATGGTTGCTGTAAATTGTTTGAAATTAGCGTTAACTGTCCTTTTTTGTTTCATTTTTGGTGTAAATTGTTTGAATCAAGCTTTGACTGTCCTTTTTTAATTCATTGTTGCTGTTAATTGTGTGAATCTAGCGTTAACTGTCCTTTTTGAATTCATTTTTGGTGTTAATTGTTTGAATCTAGCTTTGACTGTCCTTTTTTAATTCATCGTTGCTGTAAATTGTTTGAATCTAGCGTCAACTGTCCTTTTTTTAATTCATTTTTTCTGTTAATTGTTTGAATCAAGCTTTGACTGTCCTTTATTAATTCATTTTTAATGTTAATTGTTTGAATCAAGCTTTGACTGTCCTTTTTTAATTCATCGTTGTTGTAATTTGTTTGAATCTAGCGTTAGTTGTCCTTTTTTAATTCATCGTTGCTGTAAATTGTTTGAATCTAGCGTCAACTGTCCTTTTTTAATTCATTTTTGCTGTTAATTGTTTGAATCAAACTTTGACTGTCCTTTATCAATTCATTTTTAATGTTAATTGTTTAAATCTAGTGTTAACTGTCCTTTTTAATTCATTTTTGCTGTAAATTGTTTGAATCAAGCTTTGACTGTCCTTTTTTAATTTATGATTGCTGTAGGTTATTGAATCTAGCGTTGACTGTCCTTTTTTAATTCATTTTTGGTGTAAATTGTTTGACGCTAGCGTTAACTGTCCTTTTTAATTCATTTTTACTGATAATTGTTTGAATCAAGCTTTGACTGTCCTTTTTTAATTCATCGTTGCTGTAAATTGTTTGAATCTAGCGTTAATTGTCCTTTTTTTAATTCATTTTTGCTGTTAATTGTTTGAATCAAGCTTTGACTGTCCTTTATCAATTCATTTTTAATGTTAATTGTTTAAATCTAGTGTTAACTGTCCTTTTTTAATTCATTTTTGCTGTAAATTGTTTGAATCAAGCTTTGACTGTCCTTTTTTAATTTATGATTGCTGTAAGTTATTGAATCTAGCGTTGACTGGTTGTTTTAATTCATTTTTGGTGTTAAATGTTGGAATCAAGCTTTGACTGTCCTTTTTTAATTCATGGTTGCTGTTAATTGTTTGAATCTAGCGTTAACTGTCCTTTTTGAATTCATTTTTGGTGTTAATTGTTGGAATCAAGCTTTGACTGTCCTTTTTTAATTCATGGTTGCTGTTTATTGTTTGAATCTAGCGTTAACTGTCCTTTTTGAATTCATTTTTGGTGTTAATTGTTGGAATCAAGCTTTGACTGTCCTTTTTTAATTCATGGTTGCTGTTTATTGTTTGAATCTAGCGTTAACTGTCCTTTTTGAATTCATTTTTGGTGTTAATTGTTGGAATCAAGCTTTGACTGTCCTTTTTTAATTCATGGTTGCTGTTTATTGTTTGAATCTAGCGTTAACTGTCCTTTTTGAATTCATTTTTGGTGTTAATTGTTGGAATCAAGCTTTGACTGTCCTTTTTTAATTCATCGTTGCTGTAAATTGTTTGAATCTAGCGTCAACTGTCCTTTTTTTAATTCATTTTTGCTGTTAATTGTTTGAGTCAAGCTTTGACTGTCCTTTATTAATTCATTTTTACTGTAAATTGATTGAATCTAGCGTTAATTGTCCTTTTTTTAAATCATTTTGCTGTAAATTGTTTGAATCTAGCGTCAACTGTCCTTTTTTTAATTCATTTTTGCTGTTAATTGTTTGAATCAAGCTTTGACTGTCCTTTATTAATTCATTTTTACTGTAAATTGATTGAATCTAGCGTTAATTGTCCTTTTTTTAAATCATTTTGCTGTAAATTGTTTGAATCTAGCGTCAACTGTCCTTTTTTTAATTCATTTTTGCTGTTAATTGTTTGAATCAAGCTTTGACTGTCCTTTATTAATTAATTTTTGATGTTAATTGTTTAAATCTAGTGTTAACTGTCCTTTTTTAATTTATTTTTGCTGCAAATTGTTTGAATCAAGCTTTGACTGTCCTTTTTTAATATATGATTCATGTAATTGTTTGAATCTAGCGTTGACTGTCCTTTTTTGATTCATTTTTGCTGTAAGTTGTTTGAATCAAGCTTTGACTGTCCTTTTTTAATTCATTTTTGCTGTAAATTGTTTGAATCTAGCGTTGACTGTCCTTTTTTAATTTATTTTTGCTGTTAATTGTGTGTTTGAATGTAGCGTTATTGGTCCTTTGTTTAATTCATTTTTGCTGTTAATTGATTGAATCTAACGTTAACTGTCCTTTTTAAATTATTTTTGCTGTTAATTGTTTGAGTCTAGCGTTAACTGTCCTTTTTTAATTCATTTTTGCTGTAAATTGTTTGAATCTAGCGTCAACTGTCCTTTTTTTAATTCCTTTTTTGCTGTTAATTGTTTGAATCAAGTTTTGACTGTCCTTTATTAATTAATTTTTGATGTTAATTGTTTAAATATAGTGTTGACTGTCCTTTTTTTAATTCATTTTTGCTGTTAATTGTTTGAATCAAGCTTTGACTGTCCTTTATTAATTAATTTTTGATGTTAATTGTTTAAATCTAGTGTTAACTGTCCTTTTTTAATTTATTTTTGCTGCAAATTGTTTGAATCAAGCTTTGACTGTCCTTTTTTAATATATGATTCATGTAATTGTTTGAATCTAGCGTTGACTGTCCTTTTTTGATTCATTTTTGCTGTAAGTTGTTTGAATCAAGCTTTGACTGTCCTTTTTTAATTCATTTTTGCTGTAAATTGTTTGAATCTAGCGTTGACTGTCCTTTTTTAATTTATTTTTGCTGTTAATTGTGTGTTTGAATGTAGCGTTATTGGTCCTTTGTTTAATTCATTTTTGCTGTTAATTGTTTGAGTCTAGCGTTAACTGTCCCTTTTTAATTCATTTTTACTGTAAATTGATTGAATCTAGCGTTAACTGTCTTTTTTGAATTCATTTTTGCTGTTTATTGTTTAAATCTAGTGTTAACTGTCCTTTTTAATGCATTTTTGCTGCAAATTGTTTGAATCCAGCTTTGACTGTCCTTTTTTATTTCATCGTTGCTTTAAATTGTTTGAATCTATCGTCAACTGTCCTTTTTTAAATCATTTTTGCCGTTAATTGTTTGAATCAAGTTTTGACTGTCCTTTATTATTTCATTTTTAATGTTAATTGTTTAAATCTAGTTTTAACCGTCCTTTTTTAATTTATTTTGGCTG